GTGAATTGCTTCACCACTTGGCACTAGCTAGCCAGCCAGTAAAACGATCCTGAGCCAAGCTAATTATTAATATATTGCAGTATGTCTCAGATCCCTGTAAGAAGGTGATGACATGTCAATCCCCAGTACTCCAGTCAGGCCCACTACACCTACACGAAAAGGTGACACCTATCAGGTTCTATCAGGTAATGGACCATTCCTCGTATTACGGCTGAGCTACGCAGACGCAATGCTGCTTTCTCAGCAATGGCCAGGAAAGTGGAACTGTTGGCTCATGCGTACCAATACAAACAATGCTGATGCTGGAGTAGGCACGAGTTGCTCGACTAACACCAACCTCCATGCAACGTTCTTAGAACTCGTGTACTCTAAGGGGTAAATAAATGAGAGACTGTAAAGACTAGAAATACGTTTTCGAACCATGCCGTCAACCGGACGCTGACCCTCGCAGGGTCCTCCGTACGCATACGATCATAACACAATTCAATATTGAGCATGTGCATCTGTACATTCAGATATCCAACAGGATATTGACTTTCTGTCATGCTATCCAACTTTCTGCCTTAAAGTGTTTATACTAATAGGTGAATTAGGATATAGATAAGTTGTGATGCCACACCTATCAGACATATTGTGACTTTAAGTGCAAGATAATGCATCTTGGACGTAAAAACCCAAGGGCAGAGTACAGAATATTTGATAGAGTTCTAACCTCAACATATGAGGAAAGGGATTTAGGGGTGATTATTTCTGATGACTTAAAGGTAGGCAGACAATGTAATAGAGCAGCAGGAAATGCTAGCAGAATGCTTGGTTGTATAGGGAGAGGTATTAGCAGTAGAAAGAGGAAGTGCTCATGCCATTGTACAGAACACTGGTGAGACCTCACTTGGAGTATTGTACACAGTACTGGAGACCGTATCTTCAGAAGGATATTGATACCTTAGAGAGGGTTCAGAGAAGGGCTACTAAACTGGTTCATGGATTGCGGGATAAAACTTACCAGGAAAGGTTAAAGGATCTTAACATGTATAGCTTGGAGGAAAGACGAGACAGGGGGGATATGATAGAAACATTTAAATATATAAAGGGAATCAACACAGTAAAGGAGGAGACTATTTAAAAGAAGAAAAACTACCACAACAAGAGGACATAGTCTTAAATTAGAGGGACAAAGGTTTAAAAATAATATCAGGAAGAATTACTTTACTGAGAGGGTAGTGGATGCATGGAATAGCCTTCCAGCTGAAGTGGTAGAGGTTAACACAGTAAAGGAGTTTAAGCATGCGTGGGATAGGCATAAGGCTATCCTAACTATAAGATAAGGCTAGGGACTAATGAAAGTTTTTAGAAAATTGGGCAGACTAGATGGGCCGAATGGTTCTTATCTGCCGTCACATTCTATGTTTCTATGTTTCTATGTAAGTTGAGCCGGCCCTACCTCATACTCATAGAAATCGCAATGGCGGGCCTGCCACAGCTGATTTAATTGGTTTCTACTTACTGTATGTTTGTTCTTTCAGGGTGAATTTCACTACTATCATATTCAGCATTTCATTAATACGTAGCTTCACAGCGATGCTTTCTTCAGCTTCCGGTACTAGGCCCCTTGCTGGAACATCCCGTCTTCTATTATATGTCTTGGCCCTCTACATGGCTAAGTGTTGCTACTTACTTGATCAATCATGTCAAGCCCAACTTGGGCCTACACATATGGTTCACAAATATTAACTAACTTGTATATAAATTCACTGTACTTACATTAACTACAACCCTCATGGGACTCATCAGCTAACAAAGGTTTGCTTTGGTTTAGTTATACCAATTACGGGTTGTTGGTTGGCTTCTCATACACTTGTTAGCTTGAATTGTCCACCGTTATGGTCCTTGTAGATACTTTTCATCATATATTCTTGCTGATAATATCAGGAGGGGACTGTGGCCCAACACGCAGAATCAAGTCAACTAGAAAAACATATTACCGGCCCTTAGAATGGTCAAACTTAACATATAAAGAATAGTCATAAACAAGCCAAAGTCAGGGGCACAGATAGAAGCGAAAAAGAGAAGGCAAAGCCAAATGGTCAGGGATACCAGAAATATGGATAATCAGAATAAGCCAAGATCAAAAACCAAGAATCAATAAACCAAACGCATTCTCGGATAACCAAAGAAGTGGAAACCACGACAGGGCAAGGATGAAATAAAGAAATAGGCTTATATAGCTCTTCCCATTCATTCATTGGTAGACAGGGGTCATCTGACTCCAGAAAGTGTGTGTGTGCGTTCTTTGTGTGGCAGCACACGCACGTCTGCGTGACCTCTAGCCCTGCTGGAGGCAGGGCTATATCTTGTGCTGCTTTTACAGCAGCCAGCGTCTATAGGAGCACCACGCTCGCTGGGGATGGATGTGCCGGCTGTGGCTGTGATCCGCCACAACTTATGTAAGTATTGTTTATTTTTTAAGTGACCGCAATGATTGGGTGCGGTCACATGGTGTGGCAGACCAGGAGCCGTGACAGTACCCCCACTCGAAGACAGGGCAGACCTCGGCTTATCAGGAAAGCGTGCATGGAAAGAGCGGAGAAGACGACACGCATGGACGTCCAATGCAGGAACCCAGGAGTGTTCCTCAAGACCATATCCCTTCAAATCTACCAGGTATGGCAAAGAACCATGAGTCAGCCGTGAGTCCAAAATAGAACGGATTTCCCGAACACCAGTCCCAACGTACGAACGCTTGCTTCCTCTTTTCCCAAACAGCTGGGAGAGCACTGTTCGGTAGTTTTGTTCATACGAACGAGGGGAACAATCTCTGCTAGAAGCCTGGGGGAACCGTTCAGGCATTTATTCGTTTTTTTTTTACTTTTCGAACTAGACCGGCAAAACCACCAAAACTTGTGGAACTGTTTTGGGCAGGAGCCTCATGGGTAGCCTGTCACCTAAGACCTCCATGGAATTCGAAAATCCCTGAACTGATCTGGGTAATTTTTGGATATGTTGGTCACCCAGAACAGGGCTATCAGGAGGATATCTTATGTTTTAGGGTGCGTTTCAAAGTTTGGGTAAATTGTGATTTGTCTACCTGGAGATAATTAAGTTATTACTTTATAAGGATGTGCATAGGGAAAAATTTGGTTCGGCATTCTGAAATTCGGGACTTCAGTAATTCAGGTCTTTCAGCCTTTTAGTAGATAGCTCCCTAATACTGTGGGAATTAGGGAGTTATCTAATTATTCATTCCCGTCATTCCATTGACTGGCTAAGTAACTTACATTTTATATGAATGTGTATTACTTGATTGTAGTAAGTGTTGCAAATGCATACAGCTGAATCCTGGGTATGTTTGTGTACTTTTTATTTAAAATTGTATACAGTGTAACATTCTTCATTCTTCCACTGGGTAAGTATATTAGTACTTAGGCAATACTGTGCTTCGGAACTTCGGCAACTTCGACACTTTGGAAATTCTGTAATTTTGGAACCTCGGCAATTCAGCTATTCCGACACTCGGAAGTACCCGAATGGCCTGAAATTCGTCCGAATTCACATTTGGACCAAAACGAATTGCACATGTCTATTACTTTATCAGCCTTAGTTATCTCCAGGTAGAGAGGAGGGGATTGTATGTTTGTACTGGGATTGTTTAAGTGTTTTCCTGTATTATGATTGGCTGTATTATTTATGTTCCTGTGGGAGGTTCCCTTGCATGGGGACTTGCATAAAAGCCAGTGTGGCATCATTAAACTTGAGTTCTGTTACACCCTTTATCTAGACTTCGGCTGATGTTTGGGTACCTGTCTGCTTTACTGGGAGAATCTACTTGGGAAGCTGTTATTTCGTATGGAGAATCGCTTACTTTATTTACAGAAAGGCGAGTTATAATCACTTTTACTCAGGGCGTTGGGGAGGAAACTACCGAATGGGTATAGGCTATACCAGGTTTCCTTACAGGTATTATGTCTCTGGTTGGGTTTGCAACTTTTTTTTGCCAATTACCTTTAATTCAGGCTCTCTCACTATACCATCAAGTTATGCCTGACTGGCATCCAACATCACATGTTTCTCTACTTTCCAACAACGCCAGTTTCCTTTCATCCTATCCAGTCAGACTATACTTAAGGGTATCCAAAATATGTCTGACATGCTAGATTCAGTTCCTTTTGAACCCCTCACTAACTCGGCTAACCGATGAGAACAAGGTTGAACATTTTGCTGAAATTGCATAGTTTGCAAGACTGATTTGTAAACAGAAAGTAAACTGGTGTTTCGTGTTTAAATTAAAATAAAAAGCTGGTTTGCCTCGATGGGGCTAAATGTTGACATAACACATATTATGCTTAGTTTGTGTGTGAAGGGGAATAACTAATTGTCTACACTAAACTTGTTGTGCTAAATAGATGACAGTATGGCTTTATTTAATGCTTAAGGTTGAAGGGATATGCATTCCTGAGTGAAGTAAACTTTTGTGTTTCGTTAGGCAGGCTGAAGCAGGCTTTGCCGGTTATATGTGTGAGGATTTGCCTAGATAGGTTAGTTGCGGGTATATCTTAGGGATTGCAATGGCAAAATTAAATTTACTTGAGTCTGCATATTGAGAAACACAACAATACAGTAAAGTCCCCTGGGGTACCCCAGGTAGAAGTCCCTCTCTGGCTGGGCCAGCTTAAGGAGGATCGATTCCCCAAGATCTCGATGTGGCATCGTATCTGGCCTCCCGGTCATGGAACCCGGCGGTCGGTGTGCCCCTGATGGTTTACCCAATGCCTCGTTGGGGCTGTACAATTCCATGCTGTGGATGCCTGTGGATCCCCGATTTGGTGCGGTGAGTAAGCGGGAGTGAGTGGGATCGATTGGCGGTACCTTGCTGCCATTGTGGGGTTGCCCCTGAAGCGGTGGGTGCCTGGAACAGGCCTGTGCTTAATTTCTGCGGTATCCTCCGCTTTGTTGCCCTGCGTGGGCGAGGTGCATGCTCGCTGCTCCTCCGCCATTTCTTGATTTTAAGTCCCGCCGGTGCAGCCTTCTGTTGCTGAGGATCGGGTGGCGGCTGGCGAGTTGGGTGGCTTTGGACGTGTGTCACTTTGTTGTAATATGTGCTCGAGTTTGTGCCAGAAGTCTGTTAAGATGCGGTCCAAGTTGGACATGGGGTTGAGCTGGGCCTCATGCTTGCCTGGGGGCCGCATGGTCTCCGCCATTTTGGGTGGGTGTCTCAGTACTCCGGCCATCCTCTCCGGTGTTTCCGCTGTGCCGGGATCACCACCACCACCACCACCACCACCAGGGGGGGGGGGTTTGCGGGGTGCCCGCTTGTGGCAGTTGGCTCCAGGTTGGGATATCGCCCGCCTCTCCCACCCGACACGCCAGGCCGCATGCCCTCGCGGGTTAAATCTGCCGTCCATCGTCCACTCATGGGCCGCTTAACCGGTTCACTGTGGGGATTTGGAGTTGGTAAGTCACTTGGGGTCTCGTATGTTGACTTGTAGTAGTCAAAAAGTGCCTTTTTAGCCATTTTTGTCAGTTATAGTAGGGAGCTCTAGCTAGGCAAGTCTTCCCTCCATGACAGTCAGGCCCCGCTCCCCCATTTCTTTTTCTAATATAAAATATTGGTCCTTTCAGAATAAAACGTTTAATTATACAGTAAGCATACTCACATGCAGACACAGAAAAATCTCACTGACACACTCAAGCTCATTGATACACAGCCTCATAGACAAACAATCTCACTGATATACATAAGCTCATTGACATAAAAACACAAGCTCCCAGATGCAAATGAATCACCTAAAAGGTTGCTATGACACTATTGCAATATGAATACACATTTGTATTTCTAATGCTATACTGTTCATTCAACCTATCCGTTCATATCAATTTTATCAGTAATCAGCATTTTTTTCCTCTGCCGTCAGCACACACGGCATGCCACAGCTTCAGATCCAAAGTTGGACAAAACCTATATTGCTTGCCAGTAAGAGAGTATCCCAGATGGCTGACTGGCAGTCCAGGGAGACAATCACAAAAAAAAAAAATTCAACTCATAACATTTTTAACAAGAATGGAGATGGTCTTTTTACCATAAGTACTGCAGTATGATAAAGTAGTTTTGGTGCTTAGTAGCCCTTTAATACAACTCTGTCCTCTTTTAAATTCCCTATCCTCCTTTCTAGAAGTTCTTTCCTCTCTGTGGGCTTTTATTAACCACACAAAATGCCACATTCATTTACTAAATATTTTCGATTTTAAAATCCTGCTCCATTCACACTTAAGCTCTCCAATCACTCTAGTCATGGTGTGGAATGATTTTTACCTTCAATACCTCCCTCCTTATTACTCTGGATTGTGTGTGTGTGTCACACTACCCACCTCTTACTACCCCCTCCTCATTTATAATGTTTTCCTTTCCCAATTTACTTCACACAGGTACCTTTCAGTTCACCTAATCTAATACATTGTTCACAATCGGCCCTTTATTCAGTTGCCAATATAATTTGAGTATCTGGATCCCATGTTTATTGTGCTTTCTCATGGCTGTATAATCACTTATCCATATGAAGTGCTCTGAATTAACAGGACAGTCATGCTTTGAGACTTGAACAAATCACACAAGTTTATTTTGCACTTCAAGGGAGAGGTTGGTAGGGACATATAGCCAGAGCTCCCTTTAACCCCTTAAGGACACATGATGTGTAACGTCATGATTCCCTTTTATTCCTGAAGTTTGGTCCTTAAGGGGTTAAAGAGGAATCACAAGTCACAGATTTTAAACGTGGAATATGAATCTTACTTTTTTTTTATGCCGCTAAGTGACCCATGTGATTATTATGACTGTATTTTTAGTTAAAAGTTTTTTAATTTAAATATTGATTAGCCACATTGACCCCTTTGTTTCCAGACTACATTTGTTAAAGGGTTACAAAATCGGAGAGAAAGTTTTACAATCTTAAGCTCCCAGTGCTGCTCTTCTGCACTGTGCAGGGCCAATCACAGGCATTGGATAGAGAAGCCTGTGATTGGACCATTTTGCGAGCTGTGAGAACCAAAAAAAAAAGACCGGGGCATGGCCGACCGTCGGAAAAGATGGCCGCATGTTAACTCGGCTCCGGCACCGCAGGAACTAAAACAGCAGGAGCATGAGCACCGACCAGCATGGGGAACCCTAAAAGGACCCAAGGCGCCCACACAGGTAGCAGGAAAGCACCCGCCGAGAGACCGGGCTCGGTCTCTAAATTCTTCAAAGAGCATGCCGGCCGCACGACGGAACACAGCAGTGTAAACATGGCGCCGATGGCGGGAGAACACCTCTCCAATCCGCCCAGCCCTGCAGCATCAGAGACCTCAGCAGCCTCAACAGAGCAAGATATTAAAGTCCTGCTTCAAAATTTGCCCTCCAAGGCAGACCTCACAGCAATGCTGGAGAAACTTGAAACCTCATTCCAGCACAAGATGAAGGGACTGAGTGCTGAAATCCGGCAGGTAGGCCTCCGTGTACATGACTTGGAGGAAGACAGGGGGCAGGTACAGACCCAACTTAAAATCCTGTCCAACTGTTTAGACACCCACGAAATCCAAATGTCTCAGCTTCAAAAATCGCTGGACGACATAGATAACAGGGGGCGCAGAAATAATCTCAGGATCAAGGGCCTCCCCGAAACCGAGGCGGAAGATATACAAGCAAAATTGCAGGAGCTATTCAACTTATTACTAGAGCAGCCAATCACAACGCCGATCCACTTCGACAGAGCTCATCGCTCACTCAGACCCAAAGGCAACAATGGAGACGCCCCAAGAGACATATGTTGTCTACATTATTTTACAGACAAAGACCGAATACTCAAAAAGCTAAGAGACACTAATCCGCCATTGCTGTTCCACGGACAAGAAATCCAGATCTACCAAGATCTCTCCTGGCTCACCCTTCAAGCAAGGAGACACCTAAAACCGATCACAGACCAATTAAGTGCTAGAAACATCAGATACAGATGGGGCTTCCCCCAGCCCTTATCGTCACACTCAAAGGGACCACCCACATCATAGCAGAACATAGAGATTTGGCACCATTCATAAGGGCGCTGAAACTCGCAGAGGTACGCATTATGGACTGGTACGCAATAGACCCAGCGCTGACTCTTACCCGACAGCCAAGGGAACAGAGAAGACGCTCACCCCCCAAGAGACAGAATGGGGTCCGCAGACTACCGTAGAAGAGGAGACCACCCGCTCGCTCAGAGACCCTGAGGGGCACCCGACACAAGCCAGGACTCCCCAGGGATGATATGCAACTCACCCCAACCCAACACGACGAAGACTGACCCAACCCATACAGCAGGCCACAGGTACACCACAATGGTCCCCAGTTGACCCGACCCATCACCTCAAGTCAGAAAGGCGCAACAGCAAAGGGCAACTCACGGACACCACCACCCAAACAAAAAAAGATAATGAAAAAAAGTTGTTGTTTTTTGTTTGTTTTTTAAAAAGCCATGCAGGGCCTGACACTGGGACATTGAACTACAGGCAGCTTCTCAACCTTACAATGAACTGCACGTAAGACTTTCACAAATCAGGTCGTATGCTTGAACGTTCACAACCTGTATATTTGTTTTTTTAAGGAAAGGAGTAGGAAACACAAACCTCTGACCTATTCTTGGGTAATCACAACACTCCAGCCCGGGAAACTGGCCTCCAACCTTTCCCTACACCTCACCCCATAGCACAACGACCGGACCTACGGTCATCCTTAGCTCCAAACGAATGTGACAAATGCAAGTGCCTGCTTGCCCACCGACACATGCACGCCACACAGCAACAATACAGCACATACACCCCTACAACCTTACTGACCGCACCACCACCGCCACACCTCACACATTACAGAGCCGGAGACACATACGGACCCTCCCGCTGCGCGACTCCACTAAGGCTCCAGCATCTCAGCCACATCACCACATACACAAAATACAGATTCACTGTACATAGCTAAATCTGAAAACATACACTACTTGGACGGGGGAGACCCACGCCCCAGTCCTCTCTGTCAGACTTGTAAGACCAGAGTCTTTGTTTATGTTTGTATATATTTATATTTACGTTGTGCATTTTCCTTCCACGGTACAGGTTCACGACAAAAGGCTTCCACAGACAAGGTTACACCACAAACCGCGGTGTTCGGTGCTCGCAGCTCGGATGGGGGGATTCACCCACGAAGAGAGTGAAACTGACCTCTCAACAAAGTGGGTGACCACACCAATTCACCACTACACTACTAGCGCCACACCCTACATATGGCTCTAAAAATCATATCCCTCAACGTCAAGGGACTAAACACCCCGAATAAACGCAGGCTACTACTTAGAGACCTGAAATCACGCAAAACTGACATTGCCCTCGTACAAGAAACCCACACACCCAAAACGGCACCAACAACCCTAAGAAGCAGATACTTCCCACAGACCCACGAAGCTAGAGCACTGCACAAACGCGCCGGAGTGGCAATACTAGTACACAAAAACTGCCCACTCCTAGTGACAGGGACACAAGCTGACCCAGAGGGCCGCTACATCGTTATAACAGGCACGATACACAGCACAAAAATAAGAATCATTAATGTGTACGCCCCTAACGTACCAGACCCTACATCAATAACAAACACTGACGGTGCTAACACACCTAAGACCAAGGGGGGGTTTATCCCCGGTAGACAACTATATGAAAATACACATAGAGGGGCGGTATCAACATGGTACATGCAGAAATCCGAAAAGCCCTCACTGGCCATCTCCTTGGACGCGGAGAAGGACTTTGACAGGGTGCAATGGCCATACTTGTTTAGCCTCCTGGAAGAGTGGGGATTCCCAGCCGCTTATATCCAGGCCATACGCGCTCTATATACAAACCTGAGAGCCCAAACCCTGATTGCAGGGGCCACAAAGACCCCCTTCCACCCCCAGAATGGAACACACCAGGGCTTCCCATTGTCGCCACCTCCTTAGAACCACTACTGCAGGCTATACGCCAACACCCACACATACAAGGAATACGGGTAGCAGAGAAAACCTTCAAAGTATCAGCATATGCAGACGACGTACTGCTGACTCTCACCGACCTCCATGGGCCACATGACGGAACTGTTGGCCACGTATGGAGCCCTATCGGGCTATAAAGTAAACCTCAACAAATCCATGGCACTGCCATTTCACCTCCCGGCCCAGGATAGAGCACAAATATCTGAAAGATATCGCCTACCCATCACTACTGACAACATACCCTACCTAGGGGTTAGACTCACGGCGCAACACGAACACCTACACGAGACTAACTACTCCCCACTGATTCGCACACTCCTAAGGGACCTGGAGCAGTGGACAGACAAACCCATCTCATGGCTAGGCAGACTACACTC